TTGTGGGGTGTCTTGAACTATGGGGTGAGCGCCGCGAGCAACACGGTTCCCACCCGCAAGCACCCGCGCGCCCAGCAAGTGGCCACAGAGGGAAGAATTTTGTAAATTAAGGGCAGCAAACCCGAGCCCTTCAGGCTGAGCTGAGGGCACCATGGGGGGACGGGGAGATGTGAGAGGCCTACGAGGCCTGTCCTTGTGCCACAGCTCTTGGTTGTGTCTCTGGTGGGAACTTTGTGATTTGTTCAACACTCAGTGGGGATTTTTTTTTTATCCTCCGGATGGCCACAGAGGGAAGAATTTTGTAAATTAAGGGCAGCAAACCCGAGCCCTTCAGGCTGAGCTGAGGGCACCATGGGGGGACGGGGAGATGTGAGAGGCCTACGAGGCCTGTCCTTGTGCCACAGCTCTTGGTTGTGTCTCTGGTGGGAACTTTGTGATTTGTTCAACACTCAGTGGGGATTTTTTTTTTATCCTCCGGAGCTGCATGTGGATGAGGAAGTTACTTTAAAAGTTATTTAAAGTGCCTTCACTTGCAAACCGATCCCCCCAGAGAATGAGTGATTCTTCTTTGCTCACGTCCATTCAACATAGGGGTGTGCTTGCCACATGCACGGGCGCAGGAAGATTGTCCCTCAGCAGCATCCATAGGGGACAGGCTCTAGCGCCCCCTGGAGGGGCGTGCGTATGCCACACTATATTAGGCACTGCCGGCCCCGTCCTCTCTCACTTCCTTCTTGCCGCCAGCGATGGTGCTTGGAACCGTGAGCTCCAGCTTCCGCTGTAGTCTTCCGTGTCGTTTTTCCTACTTGGCAAAATGGACCCGATTTTCGGTCTGGGCCGCCCAAGGAGGAATCCATCCTTCTGAGGCTCCTCTGCAAACTAGAACCTGAAGCATCAAATTTTTGGTCTGGGCCGCCCAAGGAGGAATCCACCCTTCTGATGCTCCTCTGCAAACTAGAACCTGAAGCATCAAGGTTTGCCACCAGGTGTACTCTGGCGATGGTGCAAATCGCAGCCTTCCACCCACCAAGAGAAGGTCGCTTGGTTTCTTCCCCCCCATGATACGACAGCCAGACTCTTGAAAGGATTTTCCTGCAGGCCCTAGCCCTTCTTCTTCAATGGGACCTTAACTTGGTCCTTTTGAGGTTGACGACGCAGGCCCCAGCCCCTCTTCCTCAATGGGACTTAACTTGGTCCTTTTGAGGTTGACGAGGCCTCCCTCCGAGCCGCTGACCTCCTGCTCCCTTTCACTCTCTTCCACTAAGGCAGCCGTTTTGTGGCAATTACACCAGCTAGGAGGGTGCTGAGCTGACGTTGGAACCCCAGATATGGTCTTTTTCAAGGATAAAGTGCAGCCCAGACCTCAGCCGGCCTTCTTGCCCAAGGTTGCCCACACGGGTCAGGACATCTTCCTTCTGGTCTTCTACCCCAAGCCCCAGACGACCCATGTGCTCGTCATCAGGAGGGCGTTTGCTTTTTATCTACAATGGACGAAGCCTTTTTGTAAGTCTTCCCAGCTCTTTGTGGCCTACGCTGGACGTACGAAGAGTCTTTCGGTGTCCTCCAAGGGTTTCCAAGTGGATCACCCCCTGTATCGGGACATGGTACAAGCTGGCAGGTGTTCTGGCACGTTCTACCAGGGCACAAGCCTCTTTGGCGGCCTTCGTCCCTATTCAGGGCCCACACAAAGCTGCGACGTGGGCCCCTGTACGTACGTTCACGTCTCCTTACGCCATCACGCAGCAGGCTGGAGACGACGCAGGGTCTGGCAGAGCGGTGTGGCTGTCAGCATATCCGTACGCTCCTACCCACCTCCGTAGACGCTGCTCACAGTCACCTACGTTGAACGGACGTGAGCACACCCCCGGAAGAAGAGAATACCGTCGCCGAGATGTGTTGCTCACGTCCATTCCACATCCCGCCCTCTATCCCTTCTGACGAAGTTTCCATCAAAGAAGGAACTGGAGAGGGAGGGGCCGGGTGGTGCCCTGTATAGCGCAGCATGTGCGGCTACTCCCTGGCGCCGTTCCCCTATGCATCCCGCTGAGGGAAAATCTTCCAGCACTGAAACATGTGATGAGCACACGCCCCCACACTGAATGGACGTGACCTTGACGAAGTCTCCCCTCTCTGAAGGGGCCCCTTTAAAGTCTCGCAAAAGAGGCAATTCGTGTCTTTAAAGAACCATCTCCACCAGGGCCCTGAAGTGGGTATTTAAGACACTGTGGGATTTCTTGGCATCTAGGTTTCTTTCATGTTCATTTCTTTAACCGTCCCCCCTCCCCCCCCGCCAGAAGCAATATGTCTCTCAAGCCAGCAAGCGACATTTGCAATAAGCAACGGTGCTTTACCCAGTCGTAGATGTTGATGTCTACGTCTCTTTCCAGCAGCATGATCACGATGTCTGTGTAGCCACCGGTGCTGGCCAGCGACAAAGCGCTCTCCCGCTCCTTTGCCAGGACGTGGGGGTCAGCGCCCTGGGAACAGAAGGGTCACACCGGCAATGCAGAAGAAAGCAGGTCACACTCACAGGGTACATCTAGACTACCATACCGTACGTCGACGGAGCCATGTAGATTTGTTTGTTCGGCAAAGGGAAATGAAGCTGCGATTTAAATAATCGCGGCTTCATTTAAATTTAAATGGCTGCCCCGCTCTGCCGATCAGCTGTTTGTTGGCAGATCGGGGCAGTCTGGACCCTCCCCTGTAGACATGAAAGCCCTTTATCAACCTCCCCAGTAAACCTCATCCTACGAGGCATAACGGGGAGGCCGATAACGGGCTTTCAGGTTTGCGCGAGAGCGACCA